AAGAGTTCCACTGTATTGTGTTAGTCTCGGCCTATTGCTAGTGATGCTATCAGCTAAGAATGTTTGGGGGCGCCACCTGAGCCCATACTACATGTGGTGAGCCCTGACAGACGCTTCTCCAAATGGAGTCAGTGTTGTGGCTGGACCTCCCTTGTGGTTCTTATTAAATCATAATAAGACACCTCAGCAGTAACCATCAGGAGACTTTGAAGAAACAGTGTTTATTACTCACAGTCCTGGAGAGTACATAGCACACCTGGGGTCACACAGTGATCGTGGGTAGAGGAGAGAGCAGGGACCAGGAGTTCTTCCTTTATTGGGGCTGAGGATGGGGTGTCTAGAGTTTGATGGGCTCACTCTTTATTGGTGAATTCAAAATATAACAGCAGAAATTAATATGTAAAAGTGTAGGAAGGGAAACACAGGGTCATTCAAATGGTCAGTTAGGTCACCAAGACTTTCTAATAATGGAACTTCATGTGTGGGGTGGCCTGGCTGTTAATCTAGTTGTGTAATTGGCAGTATGTTTGTTCGAGATGGATGTCTTTGAAATGGGTGCCTCAAGAATCAAAAGCTTAATTCTTGAGAGTCTGTACATTTAGACTAAATTTGTATTTACACTGTCTTTATGACAAGTGCGTGAAAAAATGTTAATATACTATTGGATTCTATAATTTCTCTTTTAAATTTGGCTTGTACCAGGACTAAAAACCTCAATTTTATGTTCATGTCAGTGGGGATATTTTTAAATGTCTACATTCTTTTAACTGTTAGAAGACCAAAAATAATTGTATTACAATCAAAAAAAGGTAACTGTCAAGTACTTACACTACATTTCATATTCTTCTATTTTTGGAATAGTTTAAGAAGTATTCACATTGATTCTTCTTTAAATGTATGGTACAATTCACCTATGTGGTCATGTTATCTTAAACTTTTTTGTTGGAAGTTTTTTTAATTACTGACTCAATCTTCTAAGAAGAACATAAAACTATTACTGTCTATTTTAATCTGATAATTCAATTTCAATTCCATCCAAAAACTAAACTTTTACTCCCCCACACCCTTAAATTATATATATATGTCTGAATTTACTTCTTTCTATGTAGGGTAGCCATTAACCATTTTTTGTGGTTATAGTTATTCTTAATACTTTTGTGTTTTAACTTTTATAGTGAGGTTAAACACTATATTTCACCCTTACAGTATTACATTATTCTGTATTGATCTTATGTTTTTACCTTTACCTGTGAGATTTATACTTTGATATGCTTCCGTGTTGCCCTTTATCCTCCTTTTGTTTCAACTTGAAGAACTCTCTAAGGTGCTAAAGCACATTTCTAATAGTGATGAACTCCCTCACTTTTTGTTAGCATGGGAAAGTCTTTATCGCTCTTTTATTTATAAAGAACATTTTTTGTCAGTGATAGTATTCTTGGTTGGCAGTGTTTTGCAGGCAGTACTTTGAATGTATCATCCAATACTTTCCTGGTCTTCAAGGTTTCTACTGAAGAATCCATTCACGGTCTTATATAATTTCCCTTTTAAGTGACAATTCACTTTTCTCTTGCTGCTTTCAAAATTCTCTTTGTCTTAATATCAAAGTTTAATTTTAACATGTCTCAGCGTAAACCTTTATGTTTAACCTATTTGAGATGTTTTGGGCCTTTAAATCTGGATGTCCATATGCCTTCTGAGATTTTATTTTTTTAAATAAACTTAGTGTCTCTTTCTGTCTCTTCTTTCCTTCTGGAACTCCCACAATGCATAAACTGATTTTCTTCATATATTCCATATGTTCTGTAGGCTTTTTCACTATTAAAAAAATTTTTTTTCTTTTAGTACTTCAGACTGGATAATTTTTAATTACCTATCTTCAAGCTTGCTGATTCTTCTGCTTGATCAAGTCCCGTGCTGATGCTCTCTATTGAATTTTCCATTGAGTCATTATCATTGGCTTCTGTAGTTCCACGATTTCATTTGGTTCTTCTTTATGGGTTCTATCTTTTTCTTGAACTTCAATTCATTCATTTATTGTTTTCCTGGTTTCCTGTATAGTCAATCCACATTCTCTTACAGCTCTCTGGGCTTTTTAATGATTACTTTGAATTCTTTTTCAAGGAGTTTATAGATCTCTCCATGTCTTTAGGTTTGATTACTGGAAGTTTTTTGGGTTTTGTTTTAACAGAGTCAGCAAATATATTTGTTAACACTACTACCAATTTGGAGTGGAGTTTCATTTTGATCCTTTTGGTGGTATCATGTTTTCCTGATTCATGGTTCTTATAGCTTTGCATTGTTCTCAGCAAATTTGAAGAGGCAGTAAACTCTTCTAGTCCTTATCAACAGGGAAAGCCCTTTATTGGTGCCTGCTCTGAGATGGCAGGATCCATGGATTAGCCAGGTAGCAGGGTCTATATGGAGGCCAGACACCTGGGTTTACAGGGAGGCAATCCTGGTGCCAGAGTCTGCAGATGGTTGGGCATGGTCCCAGGGTCTGTGGGTAAGTCTGATGCTGAAGTCCACAGGTGAGCCTGCTTACTCCACTTGTCTTTCAGTTCATGTTTGCCTGATATAGTTTCCCCATTTTTTGCTATTAACCTATTTGTGTCTTTATATTTAAAGGGGCATTTTTTTGTCTATGTATAGACAAATGTAAGCTTAGTTCATGCTCTTTATCCAATCTGATAATCTCTGCCTTTTAATTGGTGTGTCTGTATTATTTATACTTAATGTGCTTATTGATTTATTGATATGGTTTATATTTATCATTCTACTATTTTATTTTTGTTTCTACCATATATTCTTTGTCCTCCTTTTTTTTCTGCTTTCTCTTCGATTAATTATTTTTCTGAGATTCCACTTTATCTCAGTTTTATCTATTAACTATAAAAGTTTGTTTTGATATTTTAGTGGTTTCTACTTGATGTATCATACAACTTACTAGTCTGTCTTCATATGATATTATGCCATTTCACATAGTATACTCATATTTTTACACTCAGAGACTTCATGCTATTATTGTTGAACATTTACTTATGCATGTGTTACAAAACCAGCAATATATCATTATCATTGTGCTTAATTTTTCATTTATATTTTAAGAAACTTGAAAAGAAAGAGCTATGTATTTACCAATGTAGTTAATATTTCCTGTGCTATCCATTTCTTTGTTTATACCTAGATTTCCATCTGGTATCATTTCCCTTCTTCCTGATAGACTAGCTTTAACATTTCTTTTTGTGCTGGTCTGGTAGTGATTAATTCTTTCAGAATTTCTATGTCTAACATCTTTATTTTACCTTCATTTTTGAAAGATATTGTCACTGGATATAGAATGTTAGCTTAAAGATGCTACTCACTTATCTTTTGTACACCCATTGATTCCAATCAAATGTCTGCTTTCATTTTTACCTTTTTTTCCCCCACATATGTAGTTCTTTTTTTCAAAGCATTTCTTTAGCAGTGCTTTGTGCAATTTGAGGATGTTGTTCCTTAAGGGTAGTTTCCTTCTTGTCCTTCGGTTCCGTTGAGTGTTCTTCCTGAATGTGTAGGTTTATCATTGTCATTAAATATGGAAAATTTTTCGCTATTATATGTTCAGTTATTTTTATGTCCCAAACCACTTCAGGGACACTAACACACCTTTATTATGCCACTAGAAGTTGTATCTCAGCTTGTTGTTGCTTTTTTCTTTTACATGATCATTTCTGCAGTTTGTTTTCTCTTGTTTCTATTGCTGTGTCTTTAAATTAACTCTTTTTTTTTCTTTTGTGGTGTCTAGTCTGCTATAAATCCCATCAAGTATATTTTCATTTTGGAAATTATACTCATCTCTAGAAATTTTGTTTGTTTTTAAAATAACTTCTATATCGTAACTTTTTCAATGGGTGGCACACATATATAATAATCATTTTGATGTGTTTGCTCATTTTAACAAGTATGTCAGTTCTAGGTTGATTTCAGTTGGCTGGTTTACTCATTATAGGTCATCTTTTCCTGCTTCTTTACATTTTGGGGTTCTGGGTATTTCTGTATTCCACAAAATACTCTTGATCTTTGTTTTTCTAGTTTGGATTTGCCAATGAGAGAAATTTACAAATAGACACATAGGCAGATTTTAGATTCACCTAGGTGAGTACTTGAGAACCACAGGCTGTCTAATTTCAGACTGAGAATGTTAACTCTCAAATAACGTGGGCTTAAACTGCAGGGGTCCACTTCTATGTGGATATTTTCCAGTAGTAAACACTACATTTCTACATGATCCTTGTTTGGTTGAATCACAGATAAGGAGGAACTGCAGAGACACAGGTTGACTATAAATTACATGCAGATTAACCCCCACATTTTCAAGGATCAGCTGTAGTGGGAGTTTCCAAGAGACCTGTCAGAAGAGTTGTCAAACATGTTTTGTAAAGGACTGAATAAATGTTTTAGGCTCCATGGGCCACATACAGTTTCTGTCACGTATTCTTTTTTGGTTTGTTTGTTTGTTTTACCAAGCCTTTAAAAGTATAAAAATCTGTTCTTAGTTCACTGGCCAAAACAAAACAAAACAGATAATGAGCTGTATTTGAGTTAACAGACTCCTCAGAATCTCAAGAATTTCTGGATGTACTTATCAGTCACTAAAATTCTGACTTAAATCATGGCATCAGTATTTCTGACCATGGGTGGCAGCTTCTGTGAGCTTCCCTAGCTCTTGCTACAGTTGAGTAAGCCCATAATTACATGATACTGTTCATACATAGAATACAGAGAAATCTCCACTTTACTTACCAAATTTAGATAGATATACATACTACTGGGACTTCACCTTTATTTCAACTAGTATACAAACTAGTTCACCTGCAAATATTATTCCTTGTTCACAGCATCATCTTTTTACATTGTGAGTTTATGATATGGTATTTCTTCTAAGGATAAAAGATACAAGTGTTTATCATTTGTTAACTGATAGTGACAGATACCAAGTTATTCTTTTCTTTATTCCACAGGAATTTGGTGACAAAGTAGCAATAAACAACATGTCTTTGAATTTATATAAGGGACAGATCACTATTCTTCTAGGACAGAATGGTGCAGGAAAAAGCACAACCTTGTCTATTCTTACAGGTATGCATTCAGCTCTGTCCAGAGCACAAGTCAGATCCCTTTTAAAACTGTAAACCAATCTACAATTTGTAGTCTTGAGTATATTGTCATTTCAGTCTTGTAGTTATTATTACAGTTTCAATTATTTAAAACCAAGGCGCTCCAAGTGATATAATAAATTTATTTATTCAGTTAAAAATTTGTATGCCAATTTTTTTATAGGATTGATAATACAATGGTGATTTCAAAGTTCTTTTTTTTTATTTGATTTCAAAGTTCTTAACACTTAGTTTTATACTCTGGTAGAGATACTCACAAGAAACTTGAAACATACAACAAACCATAAGTAAGAAGGGAGATGTAGGATGCTATTCCCTCAGTAGAATGATATCTAACCTGATTTGGGGATGAATAGGGAAGTGACATCAAATGTGAGTCAAATAGGAAGTATAAAGAGCTATGAAGGGAAGGGAAGAAGAATATTACAGGTATAAGCAAAGAATAGGAAACTTAAAGGCAGGGACCATCTATATGACTAGACCAAAGAAGGAATTTAAATAATAGCAAAAGATGAATCCAGATGAATAAGCAAAAGGTCAAATCATAAAGGTTTGGGAAGCCATGCTATCAAGTTTAGAATCTATTCTGAGAGCACTGACAAGCCATGGGAGATTATTTTACGAAGGTTTATACTTTAGAAATATTGCACTCACCAGAAAGGAAGAATGGATAAGGAATACTAAGACCACTAGAACAATGAATTCCCATGTTGTGGGTGAGGTTAGTGTTAAGTCCTAGAGGCTAGAGCTGGGCTAAGCCTAGTAGTTGAGATAAAATAGCCTCTCCTTGATACAAAAGTGATACCAAAACTAAGACAGGAGGGGCAGACACTATTCATATTCTCTGCTGTTCTATATATTTGAACTGACTCCCTCTAAATCTCAATTAAAACTCTTCTTAAAAGAATGACTGCCTAGCTAACATCAGAAGGTTATGATTTGAATTACTGTTACCTTCATGATAATATATGCAATATACATATGCTGCACATAAGTTATCCTGGGACCCAATCCATGCTTAATTTTTTTCTTTTTGTGGTGAGAACATTTATTTATTTATTGAAGTATAATTGGCTTAAAGTACTACTTTAGTTTCAGGTGTACAACATAGTGATTAAATATTTTTATACATTATGAAATGGTCACCATGATAAGTCTACTAATCATCTGTCATCATACAAAGTTATTGCTATATTACTGACCATATTCCTTATGCTGCACATTTCATACCCATGACTTATTTATTTTATAACTGGAAGTTTGCACCTCTTAATCTCCTTCACCTGTTTCACCCATTCCCCCAAACCCCCTCCCCTCTGGAAATCACCAGTTTATTCTCTGTATCTATGACTGTTTCTGTTTTGTTATGTTTGTTTGTTTTGTTTTTTAGATTCCACATATAAGGGAAGTCAGATGGTATCTGTCTTTCTCTTTATGACTTATTTCCCTTAGGGTGATACCCTCTAGGTCCATCCATGTTGTTACAAATGGCAAGATTTCATCCTTTATGGCTGAGTAATATTCCATTATAGATAGCTAGATTGATCGATCAATCGATCTCATATCTTCTTTATCCACTCATCTATCAATGAATACTAGGTTGCTTCCATTATATCTTAGCTATTGTAAATAATGCTGCAGTGAACATGGAGGTGCATATAGCTTTTCAAATTAGTGGTTGTATTCTCTTTTTTAATTTTTTGAGGAACCTTCTATTTTTAATTTTTTGAGAAACCTTCACACTGTTTTCCATAGTGGTCATACCAATCATATTCCCACCAACAGTTCATGAGGGTTCCCTTTATTCCACATCCTTGCCAACACTTGTTATTTCTTCTCTTTATTTCTTTTTATAATAGGCCATTCTGACAAGTGTGAGGTGCCATGCTTTACATGTTATTTAAGAATACATATTACGCACTTTCCCATCTACATATGCTCATGCCCTTTCTCTCATTGGAAATGTCTGAATCAACTTTCTATCTATTGAAGTCCTATCTATACTGCAAATGCAGCGCAAAAGCAACCATCCAGGGCAAAATGGCAGAGGAGGTAGTGCCAAGTTTCAGTATCGTCACAGACTAAATAGATGAAGGAGGTCAAAATGTACAAGCTTCCAGTTATAAAATAAACAAGTCATGGGATTGTGATTACAGCATGGTGACTACAGTTAAATTTGAAAGTTGCTAAGAGAGTAAATCTTAAAAGTTCTCATCATAAGAAAAAAATGTAACTATGTATGGTACTGGATATTAACAAGACTTTTTATCTTGATCATTTCATAATATGTACAAATCTAAAATCATTATGTTATATACCTGAAACTAATATAATGTTAGATGGCAAAGACATCTCAATTAAAAATTATATTTTAGATACAATAAATGATTGATAGGGTTTAAATCGCTTTATAGTTTCTTTCTTACATATTGCCAAATGAGGAATCCTGGACTTGTTATTAATATTTAAATTTCTTGAGAATAGTTATATATTCCAGATCTCTATGATTTTCATAGCATCTGCACAGTACCTAATGTGGTTCACAAATATAGTAACTGGCTGATTGCAATGCAAATACACTGAAATACAGCAAATTATTTAAAATTTTATTACCAATATAATCCATACCCATTGTAGAAAATAAATATACACAAGCAAAAAAAGAAAGGAAAAAGAAAATTTAGGTAGATAGGTATAACTTGATACTTTCCTGTAAGTATTCTTCTGCAGGAGACAGTGCTAATTCCTTTGAGTAATTCACAAATAGATTGAATTTGAGATGCTAACTTGCACCATCTTATGTTCTCTCACCAAAGCTCAGCTTTTGTCACGTCTTTGGCTTATTTGTAGGTTGTTACCCTCCTACGAGAGGAGAGGCCTATATTGATGGATATGACATCACAAAGAACATAATTAAGATTCGAGAAAGCTTGGGCTTTTGCCCACAGCATGACTTGTTGTTTAATGATTTGACACTATCAGAACACCTTTTTTTCTACTCTGTGGTGAGTCAGATTGTTTTTAATTGTACAGGAAATTCAACTTATTTCTTTTTATATATTGATCTATGAACTTTAACCTATTTAACCAACAGCACAATCAGGATACAAAACAGTTTCATCACCCTCAAACACTCCCTCATGCTATTCCTTTGTAGTCATCCCTTTCCCTCTCCCCAGGTAACACCACTGGTCTGTCCTTTATCACAGCTATTTTGTCTTAAGAATATCAAGTAAATGGAAATCATATAGTATGTAATCTTCAGAGATTATCTATTTACACAGAGCATAGTGCCTTTGAGATCCATCTGTGCTGTTCCATGATCACCAGTGGATTTCTTTTAATTGCTGAATAGTATTTCATGTTTGGCTGTAACAGTATACCAACTGAAGGACACCTGGGTTGTTTCCAAGCTTGATGAGTGTAAATAAATCTGTTCTGAGTTTCATATACAAATATAAGTTTTCATTTCTTTCAGAGTAGGATTACTAGATGATATAAATTATAAGAGTTCAACTTTATTCGAAACTGCCAAACTCTTCCAGACTGGCTGTACATTTTGCACTCCTACGAGCAATGTATGAGAATTCTAAGTGCTCCACATACTTGCCAGAATTTGGTCTTAATACCTTTTAAAAATTAACCACTCTAATAGATGTGTAATTCTATCTAATCATGGTTTTAATTTGCATTTCATGCAAGCTAATGATGTTGATCATCTTTCATGTGGTTATTTGCCATTTTTATAGCCTTTTTGGTGACTTATTTGTTCAGACCCTTTGTCCTTTTTTAAAAATATGGGCTGTTTGTTTCCTTATTATTTAATTTTTAAGAACTCTTTATATATTCTAGATATGTCCTTTGTTGGCATATGTGCTTTGCAAATATTTTTCCCAAACTATAGCTTATCTTTTCTTTTCTTGAAAATGTTTTTTGCAGGGCAAAACTTTTTAAATATTGAAATCCAATTCTTAATGTTCTAGCCCTTTACTATCTTTTCTAGAACTCTGTGCCTAACTCCAGGACATGAAGATTTTATTTTGTATTTTCTTCCAAATTTTTGTAGTTCTACATGTTACACTGTGATCCATTTCAAGTTAGTCTTTTTATAAAGATCTACAGTTTAGTTCATTTTTCGCATATATGTATAACTAATTGTTCTAACACCTTTTTTGAAAGTACTATTCTCTCATCTTTGAGTTGTTTTTTGCACACTTGTCAGAGATTAAATGGTCGTATTTCTATGGCTTATTTCTGAACACTATTTTCTCTCTTTTCTGTTCCATTAATCTGTGTGTATATCACTTTACAAATACCACACTGTCCTAAGTAGTATCGCTTTACAGTAGGTCTCAATATAGATAGTGCTGTTCATCCAACTATGTTTCTTTTCCTAAAGCATTTTAGCTATTACAGCCGCTTGGCCCTTCCTGAAATTATTTTGTGTTATCTTTTATATATCTGTGAAAGTTCTGCTGTAGTTTTGATTGGTATTACATTAAATCTATATATCATGTTGTTGAAAACTAACATTGCTACTACGTTGAGATTTCAAATACTTGACCACAATATCTCTCTCCACTGAATTAGGTCTTCAGTTTCTTTTATCACCATTTCTAGTTTTGAGTACACAGATTCAATACCTATTTTCCTAGATATGTGTGTATGTGCATGTTTCATTTTATTATATGGAGCTTTACTTTTTTTTCACTTCCAGTTGTTGATTTATTGTACACAGAAAAATGACTGATATTTGTGTGTTGACCTATTATCCTCTGACCTTGCTAAGCTCACTTACTAGGTTTAGGAGTGTTTTTTGTAGTTTCCTTGGTTTTATACATAGACAATCATGTCATCGGAGAACAGGGAGAGTTTCTTTTTTGTGTGCCAGTCTGTATGCCTTTTATTTCTTTTTCTTACCTTTTTCAATGGTTAGGAACAGTATGCTGTTGAGTATGATTATTGAGAATGGGCATTCTTGACTTATTTTGATCTCAGGAGGAAAGCACTGTCTTTCAGCATTAAGGGTTTTTTGGGGGGTTTTTTGTATATACCCTTTATCACCTTTAAGGAAGTTGTTTCTATTCTTAGTTTGCTGGGAGTTTTTATTATGAGTGAATGTAGTATATGATCAACGGCTCTTCCTGTGTCTATTAATGACTGTGTGGTTTTTCTTCTTCTTTAGACTGTTAATGTGGTAGATTACACTGATTGATTTTCAAATATTGAAACAGCCTTACAGATGGAGAATAATCCTCACTTGGTCATGGGATTTTTTAATTCATCACTCAGTTTGATTTGATAATATTTTGTTCAGAACTAAGTTTGTGAAGGCTATAATTAGCCTGTATCCTTTTTGCTTTGCCTTTGTCTGGTTTTGGTATCAGGATAGTACTGGCTTCATAAAATGAGGTGGGAAGTGTTCCTTTCTTTCATATTTTCTGGAAGAAATTGAAATTTATTTTATTTTATTGATTATTAATTTTATTTCTTCTTAAATGTTAAGTAAAGTAAAACCATCTGCATCTGGAGATTTATTTTTTGATGTTTTATCACTATATTTTCATTTTTATTCAGTTCAAAATATTTTCTATATTTCTTGAGACTTCTGTGACTCATAGATCATTTACAAGTTATTTTCTTTAATGTCAAGTGATGAAAAGTTGTCCCGTTTTCTTTCTGTTATTTTAATTTAATTCTATATTGGTCAGAGATCATATTTGGTGTTTATTAAACGTTTTTAAATTGCTATGCTTTTATGACTTACAATATGGTCTATCTGATGACTGTTCTATACACACCTGAGAATGTTTTCTGCTCTTTGATTGGAATTTTCTGTAATTTTCTGTAAACATCAGCTGATTCAGTAACTTGAGGTTGTTTGGTTTTTCTGTTATATTTGTTGATTTCTGTCTAGTGGCTCTGTATTTGAGTATAGAAATTTCCTACTATACTCATATATTTTTCTATTCATTTCAGTTGTCATTTTTGTTTTCTCTGTTTTAAGTTCTATTGTTAGGTTATGCACACTTAGGATTGTTTAGGATCCTGTTACATTAGGATCAAAATGTAATGTCCTTCTTTTATCTCTGGTACTTTTCTTTGCTCTGAAATCAACTCTGTCTGATATTAATATAACCATTCCAGCTTTCTTTTGATTCATGTTTCCATAGTATATCTTCTTCACTCACTCACTTTAAACCTACCTATATAATTAAATTTTAAGTGAGTTTCTTGTCGACATTGTATCTAGCTAAGTCATTTTTTAAATATAATCTGACAATCTCTTTCAATTGTTGTGTTGAGGCCATTTATTTTTAAGTCCTGATATGCTGGATTTCAGTATACCATTTTATTATTTGTTTCCTGTTTGTTCCCACTGCATTTTCCCTGTTTCCCCTTTCCAGTCTTAATTTGGGTTTTAAACATTTTTAGTACTCCATTTTAATTTATCTATTGTGATTTTTTTTCTGTATCTCTTGTATGCATTTTTGGTGGTTGTTCTAGGAACTACAAAATATAGACTAGGCTTTTCACAATTATTTAGAATCAATATTCTCCAACTATGTTGAATGTAGAAACTTGACCTCATTTTAGGTATTTTATCCTCCTCCCTTTAAGCTGTAGTTGTCATATATTACACCGACATATATTGAAAACATTATCAGACAATGTTATATTTTTTGCTTGAAATCCTCTAGCATGTTCAAAGAACCATAAGAGAAAAATAGTTTTTATGTTTACCATTTCTGCTCCCTAGCCAGAAGACACTCGCCTTCATGATTGTGCCACATCCTAGTGGCAGGAAGACAGAGAGAGACCAGTAAAAACCAGTTGGGTTATGTCTTTTCTGAGCCATGGTTCCACTGAACTGAGAAGAAGATTTCCTCCCCCTCGGAGTTTTGGCTTTTGCAGGATTCCCACTCTTTTCCAGTCTTGCCACCATTCCTGTCCCAAGACTTCCCATGGGGTGGAGCACAAGAAAACAGAAGCGGAAAAATGGGACTGCCCCTCCCACATTTCCTCAGAGCTTTAGAGTTTTCCCTTTTCCACTCTTCTAGACGATTTATCCTAACCTCATTCTGTCTGCACTACAGTGCTCACTTCCAGGCTTTGGATTGGTTTAAACTCAGGCTGGAGGACAAGATACATAAGGGAAAGATGGTAAACTCAACACTGTTCAGTGGCACTTCAGATTATGATGGTCTTCCTGATCCAACTGCTGATGTTTACTTTTTATAGTTCTCCAGGTTTAATAATCGAATTCAGTGGGAGATAAAGGGGTGTGTGTGTTTACTTCATCATACCTGGAAGCTAGAGATAGGTTTCTTGTCTGCCTCTATTCATGATCTTCAGGTGTCTTTATAAATTCTGAAAATTCTTTTTTTAGGAACTCTCCTAAAAGGGAGGCAATGGGAAGAAGACACTATGTAGCTGATGTCATAAAAAAAGCTGGTATAAAATTCTTTCAGGATACAGTTAAAAGAAACTTCATTTATCTATACAGATGTGTAAGAAAACTTATGACCTAAGAACAGTCTGAGAATAAACTGGATGCACCATGTAAATTCTGGCTCCTCCTTCTAGGTAAAAAATATACGTCAGGAGGTGTCTCTTCTGGAAATGGACCATATGCTGTCTACTTTTAACCTGCTAGAAAAGCGTGATACATTTTCAAAGTCACTAACTGGAGGAATGAAGCGCAAACTCTCCATCATTATAGCACTTTTAGGGGGCTCCAAGGTATTAAGAAAGAATGAGAGAGAGGGTGGGTGGGCAGAGAGAGGGGCACTAAAAATGGATTTCTGCCAGCTGGTCTGGAAAACTTAGCTGACAAAAACCTGAGAGTTCATATGAATCTTAAAGGAACATTGCCAGTAATAATCAGAAGGAAATGGCATTATTGGCTCAAGTGTTTAATTTAAATTACAGTTTAGGATTTTTTTTCCTAGAGTTTTTACCACTATTTTTAGTCCAGACTCTTTATATTTGTTTAAATGTGTTCCCCTCAAGTGGTAAATTATCCCACAAGTAGCATATCATCAATTATCAATGGTTATAGAATTGTTCTTCTGGTTTTTAGGTAGTGATACTTGACGAACCATCATCTGGCATGGACCCAGTCTCAAGGAGGGCCACCTGGGATCTCCTTCAGCAATTTAAACGCGATCGTACCATCTTACTGACCACCCACTACATGGATGAAGCTGACGTCCTGGGTGACCGAATTGCCATCATGGTCGATGGGACCCTGCGGTGCTGTGGCTCTTCAATCTTCCTGAAACAAACATATGGTCTCTCCTCCCTTTGATCATTCTTAGGATATTGGTGCCTTAATAGTCTTCTAACAAGATTTTAATTATATTTTGTGTATATATCAAAAACTTTGGTGACTCCCTCTGTCCTATTAATTAGGTCACAACTGTTCTAATTGCTTTTTAAGGCCCTTTAGAATCTGGATATTCTTTACATATACTCACTCTTTCTCCAATACATAACTTTACACTCAGGAAATGCTTTTATCAAAGTCTACAAAACCTATGCTTGTATCTTCCATTTTGCACCTACTAACAGTTTTCTTTGTCCCTGGAATGCAGTTGTGCCCTCTAATAGGTTCATTTTAGGTGAGTGACTGGTTTATGAAGAGAGAAAGTAGATAAATCAATTATTTCTGATCCACATATCTCATTTGCCAAACTAATATCAATCCCCCATTGTGATGAGATAGCTCTAAAATGTGGCAATTGACAATGAAGATGTAGTGCAGAATGAAAAAATCATATAAGTGAAATAAAAGAGTCTTTGACTCTGATAAAGCTTTTTTAAGAGATAAAACTGATACATCAAACAGTGAACTATTGAGGGCTAAAATTACAGTAATAGGAGTCCCAATTTAGAGGGTATAAACATAAATGGAGATAAGGATGAATTGCTTCCTCATTCATTTATTCAATATTTGCATTTATTCAACTGATCTTAATTATTTCCTCCATACTGGTTACTATGGTATCCACTTTATATAGCATGTTTAATATTCATTTAATATTCATTTAATATTCCCATTTTACAGAATACAGAACTATGGCTCAGGTATATCAAAAATTTATCTAAGTCATATTTATATACCCAGTTAGTTCAAAGTTTATAATCATCTTATAGGTTTGAGTTTTACAGTTGACTTGTAAGGGATTCTATATCCAAAATTATTTATGCCATTTGAATTGGATGTTAGCCTGAGATAAGGGACACATGATTTAAACAGCTATGCTTCTGATAAATAAATACAATAATTTCTAATATTCACTAACTTTACTATTTTTTGGTAAAATAATACAACATATATGTAACTAGATACATTAAAGTCATAATATTTTGGGATGTTCAAGTCCCTTTTTATAGGTACTAAACTTTCATTATGCTTAAACTGAACTTCTTGCATTTTACTTGAAAGCCTGGGATTTGTGTTCACTTCTATGAGAGCATACAAAATTCCACGTTAGTATCAGTATACACTTCTCACTAACTACTTTGCCTCTCTGTCCTAAAAGGACAGACAGTTGAGAAGCTTATTGTCATGATTCTTGAGAAGTAGAAAGTAATTTACATATAATTTTGTAAGTAAACCAAAAGTAGCTTGGGTCCCCATGGCTGGTAAATAATGGATAAGTCATTTCATTCTCTGGATGTCAGTTGCCTCATTTTCAAAATGGAGTAATAGTGTCTTCCCCACCATAAGCCAGGTAAAATAAACCAGATTATCAGCTAAGAGATCTATACTTAAAACCTGTTAC